CCCGGCCCAGCCTCTCTGCACCTGTGCCTAGTCCCAGTGGCAGGGACTGTCCTCTCAGCCCACCCAACACCCAAATCCAGGTGCCCCGCCAGCCTGCTCACACTTCCTGGGCTCAAGACCCAAGGCTTTAGCAATTTCAGGGTCATCTGCACTACCTGGGGGAGTGATGGGAAGGCCACACTCAGGCCTGTCAGGGCCTGGTCACTGCCTGGGGACAGAGGATTCCAGAGCCTACAACTTGTTCAGCAGGTCTGGGCCATGGCCCGCACCCACCTCTGCACACAGCAGCCAGCCCAGGGTCCCATGCGATACCCCAGGGCAGAGACACTAAGTCAACTGAAGGTGGTGCCAGGGGTCCTGCCAAGTGCCTGAACCCTGGCTTCTCCAACATCTGCGATGCCCCAGCCCCATGCCCTGGGTAATCAAAGGTCCTGGCCAGAACCGCCTCCTCCTCCCAGCCTTGAGGGGCCATCCTTGTTCTCAAGGTGGAAGAGCTGGGCCCTCAGTCCCCTGCAGCCTGGGACGAGCCTCACCCTCAGGGCCGGTGCACACCCAGAGGCTCTTCCCAAGGAAGCCTGGTGCCAGAAACCCAGACACTGAGGCACAGACCAGAGACAGAGCCTGGGAACACCCAGGAGTGCAAGTCCCCCAAGGTCCCAGCCCCAGCTGAAGCTGGGAGAGCCCGGAGGCCCCCAATCCTCCTGGCCACCCCTGAGTGGCTGTTCCCTCTGCCCAGGAGGAGCTGAAGGGGTTGAGGCTCAGGACGTGGTGCCCCCACACCCACACCCACACCCAAGAGCACACCCAGGCCTGGCAGCCCACCTGGCCCTGCAGGGCTGTCAGTCCAGCTGTGCCCCAAGGAGAACATTTGCTTCTTGCTCTATGTGGACAGCTGCAGGGTCAGTGATGCTCAGAAGAGAGTGTCTGATCATGGAGCAGGGAGTGCGTTTCAGGGCCACACACCCTCTAATGGGGGTGGGCCAAGGCCAGGGCTGTGTCCCTGGATGAGTGGCAGGGAGGGGGCCTGGGACCAGCGTGGCAGGCCACGGGGAAAGGCTGCAGTTATTCTGCCCTCCTGAGCACCGCAGAGGAGCGGTCAGGGGGGTTCTGGAACCAGGGATGGGGCCTGGGGGAAGGCAATGGAAGCCGGGAGTGAGAGAGGAAACAGATTTTTCTTTTAATGGCATTTATTCAGTTACAGGGTGGGTGGAGCCAAGGACCAGCCTCCCAAGTCCAGCCCAACATCCGACCTCACCTCACCCCAGACAGGTCCCACAGCCCTCCTCAGCTCATCCAGGACAGGTGGGAAAGGTCCAAGAACAAGACAAAGCATCCACAAGCAGAGGTCCGTGGCCTGGACTCCACCACCTCCCCCCCTTGCCCCCACCACCACCAGAGGCAGGAGACTGAACTGAGATGTCAAGACCAGCACTTCCCCCTCCTGTTCCCACTCTCTCTTCCTCTCTGGCCTTCATCTCCTGCCCTCTCCTCCTGGTGCCTGTGTCCTTTCCAGACATCCCATTCTGGTGTCTCCTGGTCCCCATCTCCACCTCCTCCTTCTTTCGTCCTCTGCCCAGAGCCCCCGGTTATGTAAGGGGCTTGGGAACACACAGAGGGAGCTTTGTTGTCAAACCAAATCCATATGGAGCCAGAATCAGCCAACGCAGCTGTTCCCCATTCCCTCTGCCTTGGCAGGGTTGCGACTCTGGGCAGGAAGCCCCTACACGCCTCCATTTTGGGAGATGGGGGACAAACACTTGCCCCAGGGCCGCCAGGCAGCTGAATGGGTGGTCAGGGATCAGCCTCCACTGTGTGGAAGCACAGAAGGGGACCAGCTGGTCCCTAAGGCAGAACAAAGCCACAGTGCAAAGCCAGGGCCACAAAGCCAACAGAGGCATTAGAGGCAAGCTCTGGGCAGAGACAGGGCAGCACCGCGCCGGGCCTGGGTGGTTAGGGAGTGTATCCAGACCCAAGCACAACACGCTGCTGTGTGCTCACCTCAATGGGGTCAGAGGGTAGAAATCTCTCTGTGTTGGCCAACTCCCCTCATTCAAGCAGGTTCTGCTGGGGAAAGAGCTCAAGACAGGAGAGGGTGGGCGGTTCAGGTCACAGGCTAGGCAAGCTCAGTCAGCCCATCTTTGGAGAGCCTCAGGCCCCAGAAAGATGAGATCCTACCATCCTTTGCAGAAAGATGTCCAAAGAGGTGCATGAGGACTCAGGAGCTGAGCTAAAGATAAAAGTATTGCATACTTTGGGCAGGCACTGTCTCTTCGCCAAACTCAACTCCTGGGAGAGGCATTTTCATTCTAAAACGCTGGAGCTGCCAGCAGGAGGGGCTGACTCCTGCTCCCATGGGCTCCCAATGAAGGTTCTCCTGAACATCCCCAGGCTCCAGGCAACCCAACCCAGCCACCCCCAGAATCTAGGTGCCACTGTGAGGACAACCCGAATGCTGAGGCTGGAGAGAAAAGGCAGAACAGAGAAACAAGCGCAAGGAGAGAACGCAGGGGAGGCAGAAACGAAGGCAGAGAGATCACTGAAGAAGGTGGGAAATCTAGGGGTGGAAAGAGAAGGCAGGCAGAGGGGATCAAAAAAGAAGAACACGGCTCAAACAGGGACACGAAGGAGATGGGGGCAGGAGGTCTAGAGAAACGGACCACACTGCCTGTGAGGACAATCTCCCGCACTCCATCAACACCCCCTCCTCATTCCGTCCAGCCCAGCTGAGGAGGGATTTCTAGACCACTGATCTTAGCCCACCCAGTCCTAGGGGCCTGGAGAACAGGCCAGCTCAACAGGCCAGGCATGAGGCAGGGGCTGGAGAAAGAGAGAGAAGGGTCACTCCTGAGGCTCAGCCCAATTACCTGCTCCGTGCCTGCAGGGAGAGAGATGCTCTGTGACCCTGAACAAGCCAGTTACTTTTCTGAGTCTCTGTTCCCTCGTTTGCAAAATGACAGCCAATCTCTGAGGCCTCTCCCAGCCTGAAAAATGTTTGTCTTGTTTGCCAATCACCAGGCTGTGAGGTGTGGCAGTTACTCTTACCACAATTAACACAGATGTTAATTGAGAACCAGAGTGCAAGACCTGCTTGGGGTCACATAGCTGGTAAATAGACAGGGACAAAGGATGCCAGGAACGGCTCCTAGTGGGTCACCTGCCCCTCTTCCCTGGGCCAGAAAATAGACCCTCTGCAGTCTCTGGATCCCACCCTGTAATCCCAGAAAACCAGACCAGCCAGCATTTGTAGAGTGCTAGATTCTGGGTGCTGGATCTCATTAAGTGTTGGCTTGGCTGGGCTGGGCACTGTGGCTCACACCTGTAATCCCAGCACTTTGGGAGGCCGAGGCAGGTGGATCATTTGAGGTCAAGAGTTTGAGACCAGTTTGGCCAACATGGTGAGACCCCGTCTCTACCAAAAATACAAAAATTGGCTGGGTGTGCTGGCGGGCACCTGTAATCCCAGCTACTTGGGAGGCTGAGGCAGAGAATTGCTGGAGCCCAGGAGATGGAGGTTGCAGTGGGCCAAGATCAAGCCACTGCACTCCAGCCTGGGCGACAGAGCCAGACTCTGTCTCAGAAAAAAGAAATGTTAATTTCTCAGAGAAGGAAATGGAGGCTACAAAGGCAGGCTGTGAGCTCTGCCCAAGGCTATGCATGGAGGGAAGGACTGAGAGCCTCCAGCCTGCTTCCAGGAAAACAAATCTCACAGCTCCACAACACCACCTGGGGCACTGCCCCCAGGACCACCTACCTTGAGCCCCACTGAGGTCCATGCTGGGCTCACACCAGCACAGGGTTCCCTCCCTGTCACAGGCGTGGGACCTGCAGGGAGTGGAGAATGCAGGGGGAGAAAGTGCCGGTGCTGGGTGGTCAGGGAGGTTTCCCGGGACTGGGGCTTCAGTTGATGCTGAAGGACATTTGCAGTCTAGCAAGGTCATTACCAACAATGGCCAAGCCATGTGAGAGGCAGCGGGTGCAAAGGCGAGGAGGTGAGATCACACATGGCATGCTACCAGAAAATGAGAACCGTGGGGGTAACAATTGGAGCTCAATGGGGGTTTTCAAAAAAAAAAAAAAAAGCCAAGAAACCCTCTGTTCCAGTTTCCCAAAAAAAAAAAAAAAAAAAAAATGTAAGTGGAAACACAGTATGTACAAGGAATAAAAGTGGAGCTATTCAGGAGGAGGCAAATGTGGGTAAACCCCTTGCTCCTCCAAAGCTGTCACTCCTAAGAGGCCACCCAAGTGAGGGTTCTACCCTAGGGGTACCTTTCTTGGGCCTTAAATAAGGAGAGGACTGACAAGGGACTGGAGATGAGGTCAGGACCTGTCTGCAGGGACTTGAAGGCTACTGGGAAAAGGTGACAGGTACAGAAATGTGGCCAGCTGACCCTGGGATGGGTGGAATGGGGCACACCCTCCTCAGGGAACAAACTCCTGCCCAACCCCACCTGGGCTCCTACCTGGGCTCCTGCCTGCCTCTCTGGCGTCTAACCAGAGAACACCCAGGTAGCAGCACACAGCTGAGGCCAGACCCTTCTCTGGCAAACAGCTCACCTGGCAAAAAGGAAACTTTTTCCCTTTGCCCTGGAAGAAGGAGGAAGCAAAGTAAAGACACAGCAAAGCCAAAGCCAGCACGCCTGAGCTGCATTTCCATCACTCATCACACAAGAATCTACCGAGTGCTTATTATTTGCTAGACATCGTTCTAGGCATTAAGGATATATAGCAGTGAACAAGGCAGACACGCTTGGCCAGGCGCAGTGGCTCACGCCTATAATCCCAGCACTTTGGGAGGCCGAGACAGGTGGATGGCTTGAGCCCAGAATTTCAAGACCAGCATGGGCATCATGGCAAAACCCCATCTCTACAAAAAATAGAAAAATTAGCCTAGTGTGGTGGCGAATGCCTACAGTCATGAAGCAAGTCAGCTGCCTCCTCACCTGCCTCTCACCTGCCTAGAACTGCACGGATCCCTTGGCCTCTGCCCTCACCAGTCCCTTGTATGACTTCCCTCCAAATGATCAGAACCCAGTGGGAACCCAGGATATACCCCGGGTGGCCCCTAATTCTATCCTGCCAGGAATCCCTCTTCCCAACCTGAGCAACCTGTAAGGGACAGGGAGGATTGCTGGTGCTGAGCTTCCCTTCGGGTGAAATAGTTCACCGTGTTGGAAGGAGAATTGGGTCTTTGGGAACTTCTCTGGCCTTCAGCCAGCCCAGGATGGGCGTCAAGGAGGGCCAGGCAGCCAAGGTGCTTCTGCCTGGCAGGAATCAGGATGCCAGACGCCGGGAGCAGCCACCTTGGCCGGAGTCCCTGTGCTTAGACCCCGTAGGGCCCCTCCCCTTCCCCACGTGTGGCCATGGTTGCCTTGCAGCCATGTGGGCGGCAGCAGCATTTCCAAAGGAATAGGAGCTGCAGGCAGGCCAGATGGAAGCAATTGCCAAGGGAAAGCAGCAGAAGTGGGGGTTGGGAGGGCTGGGAGGGCCGGCAGGGAAGGAGGGAAGGAGGAAGGAAGGAAGGAGGGAGGAGAACCCTGTCCTGCCCTGCCCTGCCCAACCAAGAAAGCAGACAAACCTGAGCTCAGGCAAAAGGCCCGGCCAGAATGTGGGGTTCAGGACAGCACTCAGAGGCCTGGATTTGTGTTCCACCTTTGATACTAATACAATGTGGCCTTCAGCAAACCCCTTTACAAAAACCTTTAAGACAGGCTCTCCTTCTTCATTGGGCAGAATGGGCAGACTCCAGGGGGCAGCTGAGAACTGGGCTGAAAAGCGAAGGTTTTGGAAACAGGCCTGGATCTGAGTCCTAGCTCAGCTGCTTACGAGCTGTGTGACCTTGGCCAAGTAACTTAATCCTTCAATCCTCCATTTCTTCATTTATAAATGTGCTTAATTACAGGGTTGTGTGAGGCTCACATGAAGTGATGTAGAGTGTCTAGCACATCTTTTTTTTTTTTTTTTTAAGTTTATTGGGCCAGGTTTTTAATAAATGCCTGACTGCTAAATGGCAATCTTTTTGTTATTTGCTGAGACCCTTTTGATTATGGGGACAGAGGTTCATGCTGTAGCTGCAGAGGACACAGAGCATAAGTAGCATGGGGGCAGACCAGTGTTCCCCAGAACTCTCCAAACTGGCCCCTGCACTCTTCCAGGCTGCCTCCCCTAAACAGGAAAGCAAGATCCTGAGGACCGCAACCCCTGGGCACAGGCTTGAATGAGCTGCAGGGGGGACAGAGGGACTCCCCGACCCAGGTGCTTCTGGGCTCCTGCGGCCAGGACTTCCTCACCCTCAAGGCCCAGGTGGGAAACTGAAGGCCCAGCCAGACCCACACCTCACTTCAGCCAGAGCAGCAGGAACCTCCTCCCTGCTGGGCCAGCAGCGGAGCCCAGGGCTTCGGTCTACAGCGATCACATCATCTTTCTGCAGGGCAGGGTGGGGTGCAGGGGGACAGAGATGGGGCTGTGGCCTGGCTGTAGGTCCCAGGTGACGGTTCAGCCAACACTAAAAGATAACCCACATCTCAGGACACTCACACTCACTCTAACCCCGAAAAGCAAGAACCCAAGCAACCCTTCGGGGGAGTTCAGTCCCTGCAGGGCTCAGGGGCTCCAGCTGGACGCCGATGGGCACTTGGCTGGGGCCTGGGCATCACATGCTGCTGCTCCCACGTCAGGCTACACTGACCACTTCCTCCATCTGTAGAATAAAGGACTTCATTCAGACACCTCCCTCCTCCAAATGTGGCAGGGGTTAGAGGTGATTCTGAGGCCAGGGACAGCCAGTAGCCCATCCAGGGCCACTTGGGACACTCATACAGAAGCACTGAACACATCTGGGAAGGGGGCAACAAAGAAGAGGGGGTTAATGACAACAGTCACCCAAATCTGCCTGCCCTCACCATTTCCTCCTGGCAACCAACAGCTTCAGGTCAAGGTCGTGGGTCTTGGGAAGGAAGGAGGATCCCAGAGCGAGGGGAACAGAGAGCGGGAGCTAAACCACTCCCAGAAACCGGCTGCAGGGAAATGTCCAGTTGGCCCAGTGTGACTGAGCCAAGGGGGTGGGAAACAGGGGCTGTGTGCTCCGGTGCCGCACCCTGCACTGCCAGACTGCCCTGCTCTCCAGCATCCAAGGTCCATCTCAGAGGGGCCAGGAGCTTGGCTAGGCTCTGGTAGCTGCCTTGATTGCAATCTGCAGGCTTGGACTTCAGGCCCCACTTGAGGCCCAAGCTCCCTCTTCATCATCCCCTGTGGGGCCCTCAGCCAGCTTCTTTCTCTATAGGCCCAGGGTCTGGAACCCAGCAGGCATGCAAACATTTGAATTAGTCCGAGATAGAGGGATTCCTTCCCTGCAATGGATGGTGCAAACCTTTGAGCCATTCCAAGAGGAAGAATTTCCAACTCCATTGGGACAACCCCTGGAGCAGTCTCTCTGAAGAGAGACCCAGAGAAGAGCGCTTCCTGAGAAGCAGGGGGCAAGTCACTGCATCCAAGGGGAAGACAGCCCAGAGGCTCCTCAGCCTGGGCGTCAATTCACAGGGAAGGCAGCCCTGTAGCCCCTGAACAGCAACCCACTCCCAAGCTGAAGATACCCACTCTGCCCAGAGTCCAAGCTGGCAACTTCGAATTCACTTTTCTAACTTCTCCTTCCATCTGCACCCTCACAACCTCTGTTGCCATCTTGGAGTCTGTGGGGGTCGGGCCTCAACTCCTGGCAAGTTCTCCATGTCTTAGAGGAGCCCAGGGCCCACGGGGCAGCCTAAGATCACCCACCCAGCGCAATGGGCAGCCAGGCACAGGAGCAGTCTGGAAATGGGCCAGGAGCAGGGCGGGGAATGGTCCCAGGACCTGGGATGTCTCAGCTTGGTCAAGGGGCATTCCCAGACCTGCTCTCAGCAAGCACAACAGCCTCCCGAGTCCATTTCCAGGCCCCAAATAGCTGGCACCCCGGAACCCACTCTAGAATTATCAGGCAGCTTTGGAGAGTAAGAGCATGGGAAAAATATGACTACTAGTGAACATTTATACAGCTCTTCCTATGTGCAGGTGCCTTTCAAAGCACTTAGTACTTACCAACTCATTTAAAATCTCCCTGGCAGATGCCAGGGCCAGGACCTAGAGGAAGTGGGGTCTGCAGGACAGGTCCAGCACAGCTCAGGAGTGACACGGGTGTGTGTCTCCTCTGAGAACTCAGCCTGTGCCAGGCCTGTTCCGAGGTTCACAAAGAATGGGTCCGCCTGAGCTTGGCTTCCACACGGTGCCTCC